GCAGTCACCCCACCTTTCTTTAACCGCTCTTGACCATCGGGTATTAGTTGGACCCACACTTCCTCCCCCACTTTCAGCTCAGGTATTACCCTTGCACTGTGGTCGTAGTACCGTTTCTGGTTGGTGATTCTTCTTCTCAGATCGTTTTATAAGCTCCCAAGCTGTTGCAGCCGCAGGCACCAGAGTTCTAGTCCTGCGGCTGTACAGGCGCTGCACTAGGCTCAAACTGATATCCGTGGAAGGAGTGTTGCGATTCTCTAGTAGCATGAGGTACTGGTCTTCGCCAGTAGCTCTAGCTTTTGTTAACTTACATTTGGTCTGCCTCACTGCCGACTCCACCTTCCCATTCTATTGACTATTGTTACTGATAAATCGGTTGTAGAGCTTGAGTAACACTTTACAGCGCGGGTCAATACAAAAGTCAAAGCCGGAAGTGAGCAGCAGACAACCGATAAGGTGAGACGAAGCAGAGTGAGTGTCATTCAGAATGGAATACAACGAAGTGATCAACCCTCAGTCAATCAGCTATTGAACAGTTAAAATAGAACACGAGTGGGCAGGAGGAAAGTCTAGCCTACACTCACCCAGACAATGAACATAAGTCAGGGAACGAGGAAACGATGTAAGAATGGAACTTGCTGAAGGACAAGCAATGTAGCATGTGAACGAGGGAATGTGTGGGTGTCTGGACGAGAGTTCCGACCAGGAAACACTAAAGAATTAGGGACGGGATCTGTGGCATGCTGATGCAAATGGAAGTTTGTAACTGAGTCGTAGGATCAGCTGGAAGGTCAGTAATTGGCACATCAGGTAATCGAAGCAATGTAACATGGCGACGGGAAGCAACGAGTCTGAGTAATCGCTGTGGGCAAAATTAGCACATTTATGTGATATTTCGGTGTTCACAATGCGAGTAGGAGAAAAGACACGTACTTCTGTCGTATGCAAAACCAAATTGGAGCTCAATACTTTGTCGATGCTCGGGTATTAGCGAGAAACAATAGGGAGGTAGGATCCAACAGACTGAAGAGACGGATTTATCCACTACAACTGGGATATGGGCTGGTTTGCTGGTGCATTAATTCCCACTGGGTTCCGAGGGCCTGGAACAATGCGCTGGTAAACTCGGAACCATTGTCGGAGACCAGCTCTTCGTGTATTCTTTGTCGCGCGAATTGACATCTGTGCTTGTTGATTACTACTTTGTCGTCGTAATGGTGAATAAATCAATTTCAAACTGATCACAGATTAGTTGTACAGACGAACGCCGCGGAATTTTGCTTTACCGTGCTGAACCCTACTTTTGCTCTGAGAATACTATGGTATACGTATTTACTTTGTGTGAGTTGTGCACCAATACTTTGTTTTTGGTTAATATTTACATCCGTGCGAAGTTGGTAGATATTCTGCAGCTACTGTCAGAGATCTCACTGACTGGCCCAACTACCGTCCGTGTCCACCATTTTGGATTTGTTCTACGACAACCTAACCGATGTCTGCCAGATCACCAGCTTGAGTGACGGCGTTTGAATTCAGCATACCGGTATAGACGTTGCAACGAACAACTTCTGCAGATCTGACAGTTAAAATGGCACATACTGCTTGCCCACGGAAAGTTAAGCCCAAAGCTTCAGAAATAAACGTTAGTTGTGGCGTAGGCAGTTGTGTGAAACCTGCGCGATTTGGAATAGAATGCAAGAAAACCGAAACTACATCCATTCTCGATATGATCGCCTTAGTCTCAGCCAGATTAAACAACTTAATAGTACGACCGATTCTCTCTGGTTCTGCACTGAATGTATGTCTCTTCCACTCGTCAGATGTATAACGGTGTTCGCGCAGAAATATGATAGGCTGACAAAGATTGTAGAGCAGGTAGCAGCAGTGAAATCTGTCCTACATGAACCAGACAACTCAGTTCTTCGAACTAGATGCTCAATACCAAGCTCCAGTTCAGAACCGTGTAAGAGCAACGATCCAGGTTTAGCCACCCCAACACTAGCGGCTGCTCATAAAGATGCGTTCGCCACACATTCTTCAACAGAATCACCTGACACACTGAACACTGTTAAAGGTCCGACAACATACGTGTCTGTTGTTGCTACCCATATGACGGAGGCACCTACCCTCGTAACTCCGCCTGCTGCCAAACGACTTACTAATAAAAATACCACGACGGGACTCAAGGCCCCATCAATTGTCTAACCGGAGAAAGCAGACACTGGTCCATCCAAAGGGAGAACCTGAGACGGTACCATACTTCTCTGACTGTTATATGCTCTAATGTGACTGAATCCGGGGAGAACTCCATAAAAGATAAGTTACTAGACGAGAGGAAACAGTGGGATTCCCTGTGTCAACTAAAAGGGGTTCAAGCTAAACCAGTCAATATGATGTGTCTCGTCCGTCACCCACATTCCGTACACTAGGGTGAACCAAGGTTACTCCAGCTAACACTTCAATCAAGTAATGATGCAGAGGCAGTTCTCTTGTCAGCCACTCGACTCTGTACCACCACATGCTCTGTACGAATTTTTCCAGATGTTCCTTGAAGCGAACGCCAGAAACGCAAACAAGCTCCGAATGAATTCCGTAAACAACAAGACGAAAAGCTATCTTTGTTCACCGTGTCCCCCAGCTCCAGACATTAAGTGAACTAGAGGCCAAATCGCATGACTCGGAAAGAGTTGCAAAATGTTGCGGCTAATAAAATCGATTGCAAGTGAATCAAAATTTAAGCGATTATCTACAGCAATATACAATACTTACTGTTGTCTGTGTCTACTTGCATAAACTCAGTTGCTCTTATTTTTGCTGTCCCAACCCATTCACCTAATTTTCAACTTCTGCCAGTTCATCCACCTTATATCCAAAAATAACGAGTATATGATCTTCTTATTTAAAGTATACATCTATTGCCAAGGATTTCGTGTTGTCTGACCCACCGGACATTCAGTGAACCCGCGCACCCCCCCCCCCATGGCTTAGCAGCTGCAGGCGCACGAGCTAACCTTCTTGTACGAGATTATTGGGGAGGGTTTCACTGACCAGCAGTTGACGATACGCCTACATCCATGCAGATCATGATCGCACTTGTTTTATCTTTGTATTGTTTATCTTACATTATGAGCTCACACAGACCATTTCGAGGTTAGATCAACATTCCTCCCTAATACCCACGCTATCCGGCTCTTGCTGAGATAAAGCGACAGAATTCATTAACTTTCTTCATCTATTGTGAACATGGACAACAATTACTATTTCGACAGTTTGATTTTGCCAGCCTTTGCTTTCTGAACTACCTTATCTCATTAATTCATCGCATCTGAATAACTTGCTTAAATAAATAAGCAAAGTTTATTTTCGATCAAATCTGGCACGTCTTTAGTGGTATGATCATGGTTTTAATTTTGTTCCTATCTCACTGTTATGTCATACAAGCCGGATAAAAATAATCGTAAATAGGCTTCTTCGCGCAACTGACATTCGATTCAACACATTGTTTCTTTTGGTGCATGCAAGTTGTGTTTAAATGGATCACTTTTCTGCCTCGTTTTTCTTCCGTCTGTTACAGTTATATATCAACTGTCCGCTAGGTAAAATTGCCCATGCATACTCTTTCTTGGGGTATCGCTCCTGCGCGTCTTCACTTAGTACAAGCATTTGTGTTGTTTTATTCAGATTACCTTACTCTGCGGTGGGGTGTATTCCGGATCCGGTACTCTTACGAGAAACCATTTCTGTCAACATCTTGTCATGCATACATGCTTTTCAATGCTTCCGTGGCTGCTAAACAACGAAATATTCCATACTAAATATTGTAAACTCAGTATCGCAAACGTTGCTGATGTTTACGTCAATTCTAACGGATATTTATCGTCATTCCCTTTTGTGAGCGACCGAGGACACATTTGCCTCGCGGATGCACTATTCTGGGACAAGTTGACTTCCACTAAAGACAGTGAATCTTTTGGAGAATTAAAATGTTATAAGCCCTCCTTTTTCAAATGCCATAGCATCTAGCTGCTTCAAAATTTGACTTATCTACTTATATTGGCCATACTTTGCTGACCTTTTATGTGTCAACAAAGACTTTCATATCACTGATTATGATGGTGACCACTTTCGATGCGAATTCTTCATAAAATACTGTCCTTCATTTATTTTCCCCATATAAGTATATATATAGTTGACGGCTCGTTACCATAACATGCGGCTACACAGATTTCGTTTGGAATCTAAGGGGGTTTCGTATGTCGGTCATCTGTTATTCGACGGCCAATTCATTTTACATTTTTTATGAATCAATCGGTCATGGTGATAGCCTGACTGCATCGTCTACCTTCGATTCACTTATGATTTCAATTGTATTTGGTCACTCAGAGTTCTTCCAGTTGTACACAATGCCCAACGACTGGCCAGTTTTGAACACACGCATCAATTCGCAGTATGTAGGTAGACTCACACTGTAACGGCCAACCAAAGGAACCATGTTTTTCCATCGCTAGCCATGGCAAAAATAATAACATGAGACTTCACGGTTCAATGTGGCTCGTTTGCCCAAGCTTTTATTATGTGATTAGCCACATAGAACAGATGGGTAGCCTGCAGCGCAAGCTAAACTGAGCGCGTTCCTGTGTGCAGTCCTCGTTCGTTAGACAGATGCTGCATGTTTACCACACCGGTAACTTTCGGATTCGGCAGTACATTAGTGCACAATCCACCTACCTCGGCGTGATTGGCGATTTTCTTAGCGTCCGAACACGTGTGTCAGGAAGCGGGTGCGGACTACATCTATTAAATGCTGTGTTTATTTCGTCAAGAGCAGCTATCTCGGCTAGCCGTTGCCTGCTGCAATGCAGCCCGCATATGAAAAAGTGAACGGTAAATCGAACAGTTCCCAAACAGGGAACAAGTGTGAGTACATGGATTTTGAGACGATTCTGAAAGACATTTATGGAAACGCCCTCTATCCTGTAATCCTCACAATATTGTGCTCTATGACCTGTTTTGTTGCTGGGTTTGAAGTACAAAGCATGATCTTCATGCATTACACACCGTCATTTCAATGTCAAGACGCGAATGAGTCTATCACCTGGGTGTCACGTGCAACTTACGAATTGATTTCGAATGCATCAAACATGGATTTCGCCCAGTTCAACAACACAACGCCACCTCAGCAATGTTGGGGATTTTATATCAATCCGAACTCCGGTGAGGCCACACGGTTCCAATGCTCTCGCTGGGCATACGATACCACGCAAATGAAACGTACTGTTGTAACACAGTTCAATCTCGTATGCGAACGGAAGTGGTGGGTCCCTTCGATGGAAGCCGTGTATTTATTCTTTAGTGCAGTGGGCTATCTAGTCGCCTTCCTAGGTGACACACTAGGCCGGCGTCTCCCATTTCTTGCCTTCAGTGCATGGGGCATACTTGTTTGTCTGGCTACCCCGTTCGCTAATTCCATCCCCCTGTTGGTATTCCTTCGTGGTTGTCGAGGCATGTCTACCGCTTTGAGCTATTTGGGGATTCAAATCGTATCCGAATTAGTCCCAGTGTCCCGCAGAGAGGTGTACGGCAACCTTTATTGGACACTGTGGGCGTTCGGATACATAGTGTGCGCAGGAACTGCCGTTTTGCTCAGGGATTGGGTAAAGCTACGTTTGTGGTATTGTGCATTTTTATCCGTCTACCTTGTCTATCCGGTGTTTGTGTGCGAATCACCGCGTTGGTTGTGCATGCGGGGCGAGAAAAAGAAAGCAATCAACATATTGCGGCGCATCGCCAAGTGGAATAATGCCAAACTGCCCGAAGATTATTTCGTGAAGGCTGACCTTACCCTTGAGTATGAATACACTCAGTCCACGAAGCCGATTACTTCCATAACCGACTGGATTCCCGGAGATAAGCTGATCTTTAACACCTCGTCTGAAAGCCTCGAACTGGAGAGTCCTATGAGCACAGGTGGTGGATCTGAATTCTACAATCGCACAGACAAGTGTTTTGACATAATAAAATTTCCGAATTTGAGAAAGTACACGCTAGTGTTCTGCATTGCTCACAGCGCTATCACTATGGTCTACTTCGGTCTGATTACGGACAGCTTTTTCGCTACGGAGAACATTTTTCTGAACGTCTTCCTTATGGGCCTAATGGAATTGCCTACGAGTTTTGCTGGTTGGGGTGTTTCCGTGTACTTTGGTCGACGAATCGCTACTTCCTCCCTGCTTGTACTGACCGGTATCACAGTGGTGATTGTCAAGCTGTCCAGTTCATCATTCCCCATTGTTAGCACCGTTGCAGCCTTGGTTTGTAAATTCGCCATATCTGTGGTCTACTGTGTTTCCGATCTGTACATCACAGAAGTTTATCCGACCACGGTGCGTGTTGCTGGATTTTTTACAATCATATCTGTGGCCGGTGTCTTTTCAGCGATTGCTCCATTTATCAATAATTTAACCGAAGTTCACATACTGATACCTTGCACCATATACAGCATTGCTTCAATCAGTGGGGCAATCACGGTTCACCGCTATCTGCCTGAGACCCGCAACTGTCCACTGGCACAAAGCGTAAGCGAGGCGGAACAACTTATACGTGGCAAAGAAGCCGAATGGATTATAAGGAAGCGTCACGAAAACTGCGCAAATCCTAGAAATTGCCAACCCAATTCTGTCGTTGGCAGTGAAGCTAACGTGGAAGCCAAAGAAAACTGAATTCTTCGAACTACTTTTATTCTCTTCATACAGGTACTGCATTCTGTTAAACTCGGACAGAAACGTAAGTAAGATAACCTCTTCAATTTCATCACATCTGTCTGATTTTGGTGAACAAGTGTGATAGAATCAACAATTTCTCCCGTGTATTGGTCTTCTTTAACCTTTCCGTAATATACTAAGGCTGAATACTGACCTTCAGGCTATCCATTGCATGACTGCATAATCGTGGGTTTACGGAAATAAGCCGTTATGTTGTTGTATATACCCCCAGAGCTTTCACTTGAACTGCTATGGTGTAATGGTTTATGATAGGTGTAAAAGCGAATGCCTGACATGTCCCATTAGATAGTTAGGGTGATAATTACAAACTGAAAACAGTGCCAGTAAAGGGCAGTGTGAAATACAGGACTTGCCAAGTGATTTGGAATAACTCATTTGCCAGTAAGGTTATGATACCGTGCACTGTTTGTTGTGTATTAATGCCAGCATTTGATGATCATGTGTAAATGTCGCGGAGTATCGTCAGGGTGTTTTTTGGAATGGGATAAGGTGGCGGCATTACTTACATGTTCCGGGACGGCGTTCCAAGACTATGACACTCGGAGGGAGAAAACCTTTCGTCGAGATTCCAGTCGGCTGTATTGCGTGATCAGCTTAAACTGACAAGCCCTTGATATGTGTTTTGACGGAGTATCAACATATGGTTTGCATTTTTCAGGATCTGGTACACCATCATGTGATCGCCCCTTAGATGCCGATAACCTCCGCTGTATATTTTAAAGGTTTTCATCCTGAGTTGGTAGGGAAGGTGGGACAATCCTCTGACTTTATTTGTTGCCCTACGTTTTGCACTATCGAGCGCGGCCAGATGGTGATTCGGCCAGGGTTGCCACGTTTGAATAGGGTGTTCCCTGTCCGACCTCATGTATGTACCAAATATTATCAAAAAGGCGGAGGCGTCAAACTTCCCGAAAGCTCTACGAAGAAGGCCGAAGTGCTGGTTTGCTTTCTTAGATGCCTTTTCAGATTGCCTCAAACCATCGAGGTCATCTTAAACAAGCACGCCGAGATCGCACTCATGAGAAGCCGGCTACTGTATTTGTGATTATGGACGGTAGTTGTGAATACGCTGATGCCGTTTGCTGAGAATGTGGCAATCGGTGGCGTTGAAATGCACCATGTTCTCGATGTACGCTTTGTCCAAGTCATCCTGTAAGGCAGTGTGGCCCTCCACTATAGCTACAGCACGCTCTATCTTTAGATCATCAGCAAATAGCAAACAGTTTGAAGATAGCACGCTCGCAAGATGATCTATGGAGACTAGGAACAGGCGGGGTCCGAGTACCAAGTCCTGAGGTACGCCGCACTGAGCTTCGATGGAGTCCGATAGAGTGCTCCGAACCCTCACATTTAGGTGACGCTGAAGGAGAAAATCGCTTATCCGACCCAGAACGGAATATCCTACTCCACATTTCTGGAGTTGGTGCAGTAGGATGTCTGGTCTAGACGGTTGAATGATATTGATTAATCTAGGTAGGCCGCGTCGAATCCCACACCAGCGTCCACAGATTCCGTCCAGTTTACACGAGCTATCAACAGATTAGTTACACAGGACCGATTTTGGTGAACTCCTAACTGCTCCGGAATGAGAGGATTTTGTTCCCCAGGTCCCCCATTAAAGCCTCAGATACAATGGACTCCATAACCTTGGAGATCACGGGAAGTAGTGTTATCGGAAGATAATTTGCTGGTTCAGCACGGCTACCCCTTTCGTAGATTGGAGTGATGATCCATGCCTCCACGTTGTGGGGGCGTGCATCTCGTTAAGGAATCGAGTGTGATGATGTTTAAAGCTTCAACACATAGCACATCTATTTATCCATTTCATACACTATTGAACTATTGTCCCTGTTAATAGTATGTCGAAAATAAACCTACTGTTAGGGCAAAATTTCGCATGGATTAATTTGATTAGGTGGTTACATGCCGAAAGTTTGTGAAACAGTAGCGATGTATTACGTCATTACATTTTCCACTTCTGCCATCATCCTGGCGACGTCTCGATTCATACTGGCGCCTGAGACCGATGTGATAATAAATTAAGTACAGAAGAGCAGTAGGGGGAGTTGAAAGGTATAGGTAGAAATTCGTCACATATAGACTCAATCAGACAGCCGCCACACGCCCGGAAAAGCACTGTACGCGCGTTTCATCCTTTCGGGAATCATCAGCAGTGCGCATTCCATCGCACCCTTGGTAGGGCTCGAACCCGCATCTCGACTGTTGCCAGTCCGTGGTTGAGACCACTGAGCTACGGGGGAAGGTAACGGTCATCGTGAAAAAGTTACTAAATGTGATATAACGCCGCTCACTATCCACTGACTTACACGTTACTGCCGTGCGGAGGACGGGGTAGCCCCCTCACCAAGCGACGAGCTTACCAAACTTAAGCCGCTAATTAACTTATGGCCTTATAAGCAGTTTGGTCTGCGTATTGATTACAGTAGTCTCAATCACGGACTGGCAACAGTCGAGATGCGGGTTCGAGCCCTACCAAGAGTCCGATGGAATGCGCACTGCTGATGATTCCCGAAAGGATGAAACGCGCGTACAGTGCTTTTCCGGGCTTGTGGCGGCTGTCTGAGTGAGCCTAGATGTGACGAAGTTCTACCTATACCATTTAACTCCCCCTACTACTCTTCTGTAATCAGTACACAGAACCAACTGCTTATAATGCCATAAGATAATTGGCGGCTTAAGTTTGTTAAGCTCGTCGCTTGGTGAGGGGGCTACCCTGTCCTCTGCACGGCAGTAACGTGTAAGTCAGTGGATAGTGAGCGGCGCTATATCACATCTAGTAACTTATTCACGATGGTCGTTGCCGTCCCCCGTAGCTCAGTGGTCTTAACCACGGACTGGCAACAGTCGAGATGCGGGTTCGAGCCCTACCAAGGGTCCGATGGAATGCGCACTGCTGATGATTCCCGAAAGGATGAAACGCGCGTACAGTGCTTTTCCGGGCGTGTGGCGGCTGTCTGGTTGAGTCTATATGTGACGAATTTCTACCAATAAATTGACTATTGTTTCGGAGCCGTACGTTGGAATTACGGATGGTCGCCAACCAAAAAGGCTGACGTTCGTATGATATATTAGAGGTGAATACCGGTTGTGCACATAGAGAGGTTGGAAGAGTACATCTTCTTTATGAACAAAATGCGAGTAATTAAGGGTACTGTTTTAGGAGGAGCAAAGCGGCGAGAAATAACGCTAGCGGCGTACCAAGCTCTCACACCCGTGCATATACATACATTGGTTTCATATCCGTCCCACAATTCACCCCACACGGGTACTCAGCTGCCCTCACTGTACATTCAGTCTACCAAAGTTTTGTGAAATCTTCCTGCTTGTTTAACCTCATAGCTTCGTTTGCTTCAGTCGACTGCTGAAAAGCGTAAATTTCTTTTAAGGTCCTTCATTTGCTCAATCTGGGTCACATGGCTCTGCGATGGGTTAATGCTGGAGGCACCATCAAAGGCATGTCTGTTTGCTTTATTGGCCTTTCGATCAACGCTTTCTCCGTTCGTTTGCCCTACGGACACTATCGTTTTCCCCAGCTACCCGTTCTCATTTTAGATCCTTAGGCATTATGCTGTTTCATCAGACCTCGTTCATAGTGTTTACGTATGTTCCTTTCTCTTCCGTTTTTGTAGCTCTATCATTGTTCCCATTCGCTTCCTTAGATCAAGGAACCATCCTTTCACGAAGTTTGCGCCAGAAACAGACGTAAATCGAAAAGTGCAAACTTGTATGCGGCCCTTGAACTGTACTGCTTTTCACCTAGCTTCCTGCGCGAACGGGTGCGTTTCTACAGTGGATGAAGTATCGGGGCTGACGCTACCTCGACTTCAAATAAGTTGCTACAGTACCACCAGACAACTGCTTGTGCTATCAGATACTAGCTCAGTGATTCTGTTCAGGCTTGCTTGACGCAATGGTATTACAAGCTGAGGCGTTGTAGCTTTTCTCGCTCACAATACTGTACTTCAGTGTAAGTTTAAGCTTGTGTGAAGTCTGCACGCAACAACATAGATCAGCATATTGAATGCGCTCACAGTTATCTTAATGGCCAAGTCATACGTCAAAGTATATGTTGGTCCCGATGGAAACTAGGTCGCAATTACCCAGCGAGTTAACTGATCCAAAAATCAAAAGTAGGCATTACCCGTCATCTCATCCTTTCGATGATCATCAACAGTGTGCCTTCCATCTGATTCCTTGGGGCTAGAACCTGCAACCCAATTGTTGCCAGTCCGTGGTGAAGACCACCATCCAATGACTTACCCGTTACTGTCTTGCAGATGACAGGGTGGTCTATCCTTCAAGCAACAAAATAACCAAAGTTGAGCCGCCGATTAACTTACAGCATTAGAAGTGGTTTGGTCTGCGTACTGACTACAGTGGATATATTGTCATAAGTTAAAGGGTGGCTTACATCTGATTAGTTCATAGCTTGGTGAAGGGACTATTCTGTCCACTGCGCGTTAGTACCATGACTATTGAATTTACTGGGACTATAAGCGTCTGCTTTACAAGCTGTTTTGGGTGGTCTGGTCAGGTTTTGTTAGAGTGACTGAAACGCAGTTAGTAGCTTCACTACCTAATGAAAGGAATAATTTTGGAATGCAACATTCCCGCACTCCGTGTAGCTTCTCAGTCGCAGAAGTTGGTAACTAATAATTCCAAGGTATTTCCAGGGAGTAGGACGGAGAGACAGCGATCAGTAATACACTGTACTTGGCTGAGTGCGTCATCCAACCGACCTATCAGTATGGATAACAAAGGCGAAGAAATCACTATTTGGGGGGAGCGTGTTACGGGTTATGCGCGCGAAAGAAGATTAAATCTCTGCATATATATAGATGAAATGACTGTTCTGCTCTTATGATCGTGTTAATGCTGCGTTAAGTTAAACAGCGGTACGTATTATATGGATTGTG